AAAATTATACTTTTAAAGTATAAGACAATCGAGGAAAATGAAACTAACTAAGAAAAATCGTTTAAATGCTGTAAATGTAAATCCCTTCATATCTTCCAATTTTGAATTACCTCTGTAAAAATGTCGCGATATCATTATTGGTACAAGGAAAACTTTGAAACAGCGCGAGCAGTCGATAGGAGAAATTGTTCAGAAAATCGATAGAATTAAACTGAATTAAAGTTTTCTAAGCGTATCGGAAATACGAGAATTAATGATGCGCAAATAACTGATCAATCTGTTTAACTTGCGTAATTATTGCAGTGATTAAGGGCACAAGCGAGACAGATTTGCAGAATTGGTTCAAATATATAAGCTTTCGTTAATTAATTATTAAAATTATATATTATATTTAATAATCGATGAAACAATCTGTAGTTATCATGTATGAATTGTTCTGATACAAAAACTTGTCTTTCTTACATGGCAATTTTATACAAATACGGAATTAAAACACATATTTACAAAATTAAAAATTTTATTCTTTAACATCGCTTTTAATATCTTCCGATATTAAAACGTTATTAGACATTTTTGAAATAAATTAATAAAATGACTTATATTATGTGTATCATTAAATAAATATCTAACTTTTTTAAAATCCAATAAATATATCTATATGTGACAACGAATGATTCTAATTAGGTTAATAAAACGTTCTAACATTTCTTTCACTTTGTGGCTAGAATACCATATCACAGTTCGTTAGCGGTTTAATTAATGTGAAGAAGAAATTAGAAAGGAGGAGTTTAAGAAAGACTACATATATTTAGACGAAACAGAAAGCGACTAGACAATTAATGAGCACGATGCTATTATCATGCAATGGAACTCTTCTTTTTTTAAGTCAATACTAATGGAATACAACTGGAGTGCCTTTCATGGAAACTGTATTCTGTGATGCAAGTGCAATAGTCGTCCTCATGTCTCCACGAACACATCGATATCCGAAATAAAAGTGATGGTTTTAAAAAGCGGTTTCACGTGAATACGACCAGTACACGTCATAGAGTCGGATCATTTTTGTGCGACTGGTTTTATCGACTTATTCTACTTTGAACAAGAAAAATATATCACATGGCAAAGAAATGAAACGAATATTCGAAAACGGAGAAATAAATTCGAAAGTGAAGGAATAATATAATACTTCCACGAAAAATATGCGGCGCGGAACTATTTCTTTATATATTTTGTTTTCATTATACACTTGTGTTTGCTTTCTAGTAAGGATATTATTTGAAATTTGAGAAGGTAACACAAGAAATCACACTTTGATATCCCACTTCTGAGGAAAAAATACACTACGTTTCACCATTATCTTTTATGCGGTGAAATGCCTTGTTAAGCAGAAACGCTTACATAAATGATGGTAGAATTTATGCCGCACGCATTTGTGCACACACAGATAGAAACATTATTCTACTTAGAGAGAGAGAGAGAGGGGGGGGGGGGAAAGAAGAAAGGAAATGACACCGCGCATAACGCACAGGATACAAACATCACAGTGTTGTTAGTTCTCTCGCTAGTGAGACAATAGCTCGTTTTGTTAAACAACAAAATGAGCTCTCTTTAGACTCCAGTTTTCAATTTATTGTATTCGACATCGCGAGTTCTACGAGAAAAAGTAAAGACATGCTAATCGTAAACCCGTTAATTTCATACCTTTGGTACGCACAACTCAATAATTAAAACAACGATATATGCTGTTTTACAGATCTAATTGACCATCGTACTGTAATAATTTTTTCTATCTGTGATATATTATAAAAGGATTATAATAATTGAGTGGGATTTTATTGAAGTCCGTTAAGAAGCTTTGAATGTGAACGATTGAAGTAAAATTAATCAATCGTTAAACATCGATTTAACATTACTTTTTTTTTTCGTTTTATGAATACACCGTATAAACTATGAATATATATAACATTTAATGTACAAAATAATTTATTGCTCAATATTTCACGGAGTACTATACAATTTTCGATATATTTTTATATTAATATACAAGTGCAAAATAATTTACTAATATATTGCTCATGTGCTACATCTTGCAAATTTTGAGCATTATTAATCATAATTAGTTACAACATGATGTTTAGTATTCAATAATTTATTTATTCATTAATTTATTTATATTAATAAGCGTTAATCTGGAAGGAACTTTGTTTCCTGTTTGTAATATTGTGGCAAACAGCGTTGAAGTTTTATCATAAAAAACTATTATGACAATTATCAAGATTTATATTGCTGTTCATAGAACTCAAGACTTTCCAGAAATAGATACTCGACGGAAATAAAGACTTCAACTATGCCCGGCGCGGTGAACTTTACATTTTTGCGCTATATAATAACATACGTCACGTTTCTATGCACCCGGGAATGCAGTTCTCGGTACATGCTTATTTCACCTCGTTATCCGACATATTATGCAAGTTCCGTTAACTTTTCGATATTTTTTATTAATATCGATTAATTTCACTCGTTATTAGAATAAATTATTTTATCGTTTTCTCTCTCTCTCTCTCTCTCTCTCTCTCTCAATGTAGATACGATTTCGTAAATTTATAATTCTGAAAATAGCAAGCGAGAGAAACATTTAAAAAATTTATTTATTTTATGACTTTAGTTCGTAAAATGCTTCAAATGTTCCAAATTGACAGAATGTGTATATATATCATTTCGACATAACATCTCTACAGAACGCGTTTGTGGATTAGTCTCACATAAAATTAAAATTGTTAAACTTTTATGTATTCTCTTTTGAAATCTGTACATTTCCGAGTAATTCTATTTCAAACCAGCAAGAAAAGCACATGCAATTAGCTTTCTAATCTTTTCTAATCTTGGGAATTTTTATTACGTTTTATTTTGTTTTGCAAAGCTATTCATCGAAATCTCAGCAAATCGAGAGAAACGCGCGACTAAAACTGAAAACTGTATTCTCGGCGATGACGCGGAAACACGCACGTTGGGATTCTCTTATGGTGAGACGCCGCAAGACGCCTGTATGGAATTTGCGAGTGTATAATGGCCTGCCATAGCCGAGACCTATATTTAGCGGCCCGCAGTTTGCTTTTTCTGATGAACTATTAAAACTTCGTTGAACCAAGCCGGAAGCTCAGCTCTAGATAGTTTCTAACTTGAAGACTGTTCAAGCTTTAGGGTGCTTAAGCGTCTTAAAGCTAGACTCTAGAGAAACGGCATATGCTGCTAGTGAAACGGATTACACGAAACGCGCGCGTATTTATGATAAATACATGTATTATCCGAATTACTGCAAACATATTCCATTTTAGAAGAATATATGTTGAGAAGGTGTTGACTCTTTCGTAAATTTGATCAAAATTAAAAAGAATATATTTCCATAAATATTAAGTCTAAAATCAGATAATATTGGACTGTTGACTTGTTGTGTTAATTAATTAAAATGATAGCAAATTTCGCCAAATAAAATTAAAAACAGCTGGTAAGACAGGGTAATGGATAGGTTAACAAAAATTTGGAAAATGTATAAAAATTGAGATCGCATCATGAGGTATTCGATTAAACATATAAAATATTGCTGCAATAGAGTATGTTTTGTATGTTTGATTGAATACACAATGCGACCTCAATCTTTTATACAATTTAAAAATTTCTGTTAACCTATCTAAATTACCCCGTATTTTATCCTAAATTGAAAAATAATAACAGTTCTGAATTTACATTTTTCACAATTTTTTATTACAATAATTATATCAATGATCAGTTGTATTAATAATCGTGTTAGTGATTCCAAGTGATACGTTCATTCTACAAACGTGCATTGAGATATATAATAGCATGAGTATTTTCCTGTAAGATAATTTATATAGATACTGTTGTAATTGTACTTATGACAATACAGTGAAGTTACGTAAATCCGGTAAACTCGGATTTGAAATAAACATGCGTTAGATAAAATAGCCAGACATTTGCTATCGTCAAAATAATCTGCATCATACGTTCGAGATTAATTTATATTTTGTAATTTATATTTATATATGTTCGTATTAACATTCTGCGAATTGCCCAATGCCAGCACGTTTCGCATGACTGTTCATCGCCTCGTTACTTTAACTTTCTGTTATTATTTTCGCTTCTTGCTACTTGCTTATTAAACGCGCGTGAACACAAAGATTTCTCAGAACAATGCGTTCGCTTCTTACATACACAACCGAACTCTCTTTCTCTATAACAAGCGCACCGCAAACGCTTCTGAAGTAAAGTTTCAGTCGATTTGATCGCGATCCAATCCACTTGAAATTGATAGTACATGTCGGAATGAAATATTTTGCGCGGTTATAAAATCCTACGTCTTGAATAGGATCAGTTCAGCGAGTTAAAATTGATTTCACACTTTGAGTGCGCACAGGAAAGTTAAAGACGATGTTATTGAAAAGTATATACCTTTGTAAATAAACAAAAACGCTGTGTATGTTTGTGTTCACGAATTTAACCAAGAAAGTTTTAATTGTATGACATGCATCAAGTGTCCCAGATTTCCCGCAGTTCTTTTTACGAGATGAATCGAGTCACGAAACAAAAAAAGTGTATTGATCCTGAATAGGATCAGCCACGATACAAAAAAAATTGTATTGATTCTGAATAGGTTTGTGTACCGTGACTGATCTTATTCAGAATCAATACACCTTTTTCTGTACCGTGACTGGTCCTATTCAGGATCAATACACTTTTTTGTGTACCGTGACTCGACTCATCTCGTAAAAAGAACTGTGGGAAATCTGGGACACTTAACGCATGCCATACGATTAAAACTTCTCTGGTTAAATTCGTGAATACATACACAACGTTTTTATTTATCTACAAAGATATATGCTTTTCAATAACATCGCCTTTAATTTTCCTGCGCGCACTCAAAGTGTGAAATCAATTTTAACTCGCTATCCCCATTAACGGTATTTCAGAATAGCAACACTCACCTGGTGGAATGATCGACAAAGGAACCGCCGTCTAGAAGCCTCAGCTTGGCGAAAAGCACAGCACTGACGAATGGCACCGCCGTGAGCTCCTCGAGGTCGACCTCCACAGAGAATTTGTACTTTTTCTTTTTCATCATGAAGGCCATCTCACTAAGGCCGGGACACCGCACTGTGAATCCTGTTTGCGTGTAACGTGCAAGTCCTCGAACAAGTCCTGGAGGCAAGCGGGTATCTCGAGTTTGCCCACCTGTATACGGACCCCTCCAGCGACACTACCGTCCTTGACTTCGATTCAACAATTGCGTGTGATCCCGGCCGATCGATACATACGGCCAATTTCGTAACTTCCTGGAACCGGTAATTCGCGTTTCTTCGACTATCACTTCGCGGTTCTACGCATCGTCAGTCTCACTAACATTTCGCGCGCACGCGGGAAAGTCATTCTCGACGCTTAATTATGGAAAATATACCGGAAGAGATAACGAAGCCCAATTGCCTGAAGATCTTCAGATTTTCGTTTCGCGCGATTGAAATTGCTGCCACAACTGGAGGAGAGGATTACGCCGCGCAATTTCCGCCACCGGGAGTTCTCCTCCAGAAGAGGAACGTCTTAGGTGCGAGTGCGACGTGGCGGACGACGGTTTCGTGATCCCGCGGATGCTTCATCGACGCAACTTGTCGTTCCCACGTTCATCGACGTCGCTACAAGATTCAAGAGGAAGAAATGCAGCTGGCGCACTTGCTCACCATTTTCATTGTCTGGAACTGCAAGTAAAATTCAACGTTTTATTAGTGTGAACATAACGATGTGGGGCAAATAGGGGGAAAGTAACTGGTTTACGTGGCAAGGAAAAGAAAACATCGATGCAACTCACTTGTTGCGCGAAGAAAAAGAACGAATGAGCATAATGCGTATGATAAAATTAATTAAAAATGTAGTGAAATTAAAATGTAATTAATACTCATCAACGTCTATTATTGGGACATATAATTGCAAAAATTGTGCGCACTAAGTTTATAAGTATTTCATACAATATTAATTGTGTACAATAATAAATAGAAATTCCTTTATTAAAATTGAAATTAAAAATGCTATGCGTATATATCGTGTCGCATTAAATGTGTTAATAACAAAAAAATTTTAATCAAATAAGTAAGAAACCGTCAAAAGTATAATTGAAGCTAGATTTTAGTACACTGAAAAAAAATTATCAACCACAATATTTTAATTGAAAATAATTTTGTTAATTCAATAATACTTAATGAAACAAATATACGTCATGTTCTTGTTTTAATAAAATTTTTTTGTTTCATTAATATTGTTGTTAAATCAATAAGATCATTTTCAATTAAAATAATGCTGTTGATACATCTTTTTTTTTAAGCTGCGCGCCCATTATTGTAAAAAAAGTATAATAATCGATAATAATAAACTATATGCATTACAACAAAAAACAATACTTATTTTTCTAGGTTATGCACAAACATATAAATTAAATATAAGAAATTTTTAAGATATTAATTAATAAATTGGTTTTATTTATTCACAAACAATAGATATATTGAAATTTACTGCAACAGTAGCTCGAAATGAATGTAAAATGTGAAATTAATATCAGAGAATCCATTCATACAAACAAATGTATACATAGGGGAAAGTCGAGTAATATCGGGCAGTGGCTGATACCACTGGAATAAGAATTGTTTAAAATTTTTAACGCGTGTGACAGTATTTGTCAAACCACTGGCAAGTCCACCTACACATAAGACATGCATTTGGCTGTTCGAAACAAGTTGCTGGTGTTCGATTGGGACGTTCTACTCTATTTTCTTTATTCTACAAACCTCGCCCATTCTGACTATTACTTATTCCTTTGTCTAAAAAATTCTCTTCGTGATAAAAAATTCAGTTCTTTGAATGATATAACAAATCATCTAATATTCAGTATTTTACTAAAAATGTAATAATATTTAAAAACGTAAAAATTTTGGCTATTTGCATTTTTTTGGAAAAATACGATTAAAAGAATGTTTAGCTATACAAGTCCACCGGAAAAAACTGATTAAATCTTAATATATTTTTTTCGAATAGTACTAATTAAATATTTACTTGTAATAAATAAATATTTACTGTAAGTAAATATTTAATCTCGGTAAAGAAAAGATAGTTAAATCAAATCAATGGTTCTTATACTAAATAAATATATTTACATTTAATAAATATTTAATTAGTATACTATTCAAATATTTATTAAAATTTAGCACATTTTCTTCAGTAATAACGTCATATCATATACATATATTACATAATTTTTGCTGTCCAAGTAAATAGAAAAACCTAACAAAATCTGACATCACCTTTTTCTTTATGTATCACAGTAAAAAAATTTGTGTATTTGTGTTGAACGGTCCACTCACGTTTGCCTTAACAGTTTGTGTTGAATTTTTTAATATATTCGAGTGTTAATTTAACATAATGTGATTATGTGTGTTATTTAACAATTTTTTGTAAAATTGATATTCAATGTTTTTTAGTGTCAAAATGACACAATTTATGAGTAAGTGAAAAAGTAACATAAAACTAACGTGTTTTAAAACGTAAATTCTAAGACAAAAATGAATAAAATTCATGTTAATTTAACATATCACAAATGTTAATTTTCTGACAAAAAATATGCTTTCACGGTTTGTTTACAAACTGTGTCGATGTTATCTTTCTTTGTATTTATTCTCTTATACAATATTTGTGTTACCTTCTAACACATTCATCTTGTGTAAAATTAACTCAAAAATTTGAGTAGACCGTTTGAGCATGCGATTTATGTTAAATTCAACACATTTTTTCCAACTGTGTACGTTTACATTTTAATATGTTATCAATATAAACGCATGGTGTGGTAACAAATTTGTATGCTATCAATTTAAGAGGCAACATTCGTACGTAACATATCACAGTATTTTCCAAATTTATGCAGTTTTAGATAAAATATATGCAAAATAAATATTCATTAAACACTTTGAGATTGCAGCAATAACGGCAAAGATAAACGATAGCATAATTAATTACGCGATAACAGAATTAAATAAAGCCAGAAAAAATACTATCTACATACGCTTGATGAAAGCAGAAATCACCCAAATCGTTATCTTTCAAGTTTGCGGAAGACACCAACATCCTAAATACCAATGTTCTGTATACATTTCGTGTTGCTAATATAGATTTTTAAATAATGTAATTATTGTGTTCTTTCCAAGTACATTCTAGTTCATTAATAGAACAAAAACATTTCCTCAAGTAGAGATTATTGTTAACCCGCATAAGATAAAGAGAAAGATTAAATTATTATCTAGCAGAGAAAGTAATATTTAATACACATTTCTGTCGTTTAGTAGATAATCACGAAAGCCACACGCCGCAAGTGTTTTATTCAGAAAAGCAAACAACGTTCTTCGTCGTTTCTTTGTGTTCACAGAGTGATTTAATAATTTGCAAATTGTGACAAAATTTATCGCGCAGCGAAATACCTGCGAGAGAAACGCAAACTGCATAACGACTAATTAGAGAAACGGATGTTCTGAATATGCTAATGCGCTTGGAAATGCGAAGTCCATTCCTTCCCGGAATCGAGTTTCGGGATGCGAACTGGATGAACGCAACGCAGTAACGTGAAACACCAATGACTGATGCAGGTCGAGATAAAAACACAACTACGACAACCAGCGCACAGTCCATTACGAAGTGGGAATTTCAGCTACCGAAGACGGGAGGACGATGCCAAAATTATAAAGACCAGTGACAACGATAAAAATATTTGAAAGCCACTTGACGTATAGCGAGGAAATTTAATGCTTTCCAGCAATATTTCCATAAACTTCTCATCGCGGCTCAGAATTTATGATATACAATAGCAAAATATATCTTTTAATAAAATAACGTACGAATGTTTGTGAAACAAAATATATATAGTTATAAAAATTGAAATTTTCCAAATCAATTATAATATATGTATATATAAGTCAAAAGTATATATGAATATATAGAAAATATTATAATTTATGTTTTCGTTTAAGTTTCTTGCACTTTTCATAGAAAGAAAATTTTCAATAATTAATTTTCAATGAATTAATTTCTTTTTCATCAAGTTAGAGTACTGATCTTTGAAAGTTGTAATCGAGTAATAATAAAATACTCTTCACGTATTAATTTTCAAAGGCGCGAATAATCGACTTTAACAGAACTTTGTATTTTTAATTTAAATATCTTAAAAAATTAAAAAAATTTTATTTAACGTATTTTAACCCGGCGTCATTGTGGCTGGGTCATAATAACCCGAGACATTTTCAAACATCTGTATTTGTTTACATACTTCGTAGATTTTAACTAACCGCCCTGTAGCTGGAGCTAAGACTTTCTAAAACCATTGTTGACATTGCGAGAATAGATAAAAAAAATATTCGGATTATCATGATCCACCTCAACGTCCGTGTAACATTTTAGCACCACAATGACGCCTGGTTAAATAATATTTTATCTAAATAGAGGGCTTCACAAATCTGGAAAATTTTAGAAAAATAAAATCAATTTGACTAAAGAAAGATCGATTCGAAATTGATTTAAAAAATCAAAATAATTGGATAATTTCAGAATATTAAAAGCTTTTTGAGATTATTGTTCTTGACAACTAAACTAATTTGAATCGATTTGATATATATTTATAATATATACTTAAAATCAATTTTTATTATAATTTGTCATTTTAATAAAAATAAGATATCTTGTAGCTTATAATATCTACTATTGTTTTCGAAATAAAGAATTTATTTCATTTCAATAATTAAAATCTTTATTTAGAAATCACCTTTAAAATATCCGTCACTTTTCGATTACGAGCAGTAATCCTATCTCAGTGTCTTTCAAAATTAAGGGGATACTCATTGATGGATTATCCGCTCATTGAGCGTCATTGACATCGATATCCACTCAACGATCTCGCTACTCTCCCTTAACTCGTCCGACTTTTGGATGAGGACAATCACGATAAGTGCAATCGAGAAGTATATAATTCCTCTCTTCCTAGACATTAATCTTTATAGGATAAATTTCTCCGTGTCTAAGTAATATATCAAAAACTGGATCGTTCTAATTTACACAAACCTTCTTCGCATATATTACACTGAGAGAAAAGTGTTCGGTACTTATGACTAACTGCATAGTAAAATAATTATGGTTAATTGCTGCTATAATGTTAATAATAATAATTATATTTATAGTTCTTGCAAAAATGTATATAGTTATTATCGAAAATTACTATAAATTATGGTAATTGCAACTATTTTTTCTCTCAATGTATGAGTTACTGCAAAGAAAACAAGGTTTGTTTCTCATTTACATATATATGTAATATAAATATTAATTGCGCGTGCTTGTATACATACATGGAAGAAGCAGTAAATCAATATTTGTATTAACATTAATATTAATATTTATATTAAATATGAGCAAAAAAACGAAACTTTATATACAGATATGTGTACACGCGCGTATATATATTTTCGACTTACTTATAAAAATATCTATGAATATTATATATGTATACATTACTTTATAAACTTTCATGTAATACGTCTAAAATACATATTTTTTCTATTGCGAATATTATATACATACTTAATATTATACATTCATACGTTTAAGCACACGCATACGCACAATTCGAGTAGCCAGATTTCTCGTACATGTTGCCTACAAATTTCTACAAACCGCCGATGCCCAACATAACCTAAAACGCCCTGAACCCTATACAATCCCGCAGAGGTGATCCCCATGTATATCGCGTTCGCGCTCGGCTGCGCGCATCGCGCGCACGCGATGATTGTGAAAGTATTGCGGAGCGAGAGCAACGGCGATAAGAACGCACGATGTACACACGTTCTTATCGGTCGGTCGGTCGTCGGCCAGTTGACAGATCGGTGATTGAGTAGACGCCTCCGGACGAGGTTGCGGGACACTGTCCTCTCTCTCTGCGAGTCGCTTCGCGACGCCACGGTGCCGTTTGCGTGCCTCAGTCCCGTCAGATTCTACGTAAGCGGCCAGATTGCGTTAAATCCTAACAGTATATCATCGACTCCGAGTCCTCTGGGATTACAAACTAATCTTCGCGAGGAAACCGAGTGCGCATTGAATGGTGTTTCAGGATTTCGCGTGATGTTTCAGGCGCGATGGAGCGACACGAAGTGTCCCCTTGAGACACGAGATCTATTTCTTTTAATGTACATCTCTACCAATGTAAATTAACTTTGGTTCAATTTGTCCTTTATCCCTTTTAACGCCCGTTTCTATCAATATAGACCAACTTCAATTTACTCGGTTCAGCTTACTCTTCAGTTTATTCTCATTCTTAAAACTAGAAAACAATAAAGTTAATTGGACCAAGATTAAAATTAAACAACATTTGTAGAACCGGACATAATTCTTAGAATTAGAAAAAGATAAAGACTGAATTAAACGAAGATTAAGGTTAATATACATTGATAGACACGGCACTAAGTGAACTTCTTGCTCAGTTCATCTGTTCTCTCCAATGAGTGAAAAGAAAAGGAGAAAAGGATGAACCGTGCAGGAAGTTCAGCTAAAAAAAAAACAGGCCTAATGAAACGGTGAAAGCGACGGTGTCCGGTCGCGAGGCAGAGCGCCGATGACCCTCCTGCGAGTCGACTTCCTAACCTTTCGCGCGCGTTCAGCTAGCGGCATCAGGGGATCGATCTTCGGTGAACGCTCCGATCCAGGACTGGACCCTCGACTCCGCGACTGGACGAACCGGACGAACTCTCTCACACGCGCGAATCGCGGTGAAACGTCAGACGAATCCTCGGACGAGAGAACCTCACCCGTAAACCGTTCGACGACGGCGCGAATGCGACGGTTTTATAACCTCTCTCGCGCGCGTCAACGACTCGATGCTCCGTTTTCCTTCAATTCTCTGCTTTAATTCTCACTCTTCGACCTGCTCTCGCGTTTCGTTTCGAACCCCATGGGGATGAGACCGCAAGACAAGGGAGAGAGAGATCATCGATTCACGGATTCAGTAAACGAATGCACAACGTGAGAAAATTGACGGATGATACTTACCATGTCTCCGTAAGCTTCTCCTCGCACGCTACCCGATTTCACGCACTCTCACACTTTTCATGATCACAGGCGTCTCTCTCTTTCTGTGCGGGCTCTCGCGACGTCGATTACCACTACGACCGCAACTGCCGCGGCGACGACGATGGTGACGGCCGACGGCGGCGAGCGGCGACGGTGGCGGTCTTCGACGCGAAAGGTATCAGAGTCCTGTGAACGAAGAGGCTGCGACCGCTTCGCCTCACGCCCGACGTAACGGAGCTCGTCTGGCTCGCCAACAAACTGAACTGACTGCTGATTCCGTCGAACTGCACTCGGTGTTCGCGAATTACAGGCTAGGTTTCGCGCGCATGCGCAACAAACGCGTCTTCAGTGAAGCACCTAGCTCGGGTAGAAAAGGCGCCGTTAAACTCCTATGAGGAAATTATAGATCAATTTTTGGCAAGTTAGGAAGAATTGCAAAATATAACAAATATATATACAATTGTGAAAATATATTGAATGTAAATAATAAAATGTATATTGAATATATATTATTTTTAAATATTATACAGTTTTATATATTTATAAGATACATAATTTAAAATGTATTTTATATATTTGAACTTTTACAATGCACATGTCATTTATATTAATTTTCTAACCTTTTAGCTTAATGAGTCAAAGGTTTTAACTCGTGTGTAAGTTGATGTAATTATATAAGCTTAATAAAGAGAAATTTTCTTCAATTTCTTTAGATATTTCTAAAGAATTAAAAAAAAATCTCGAAACGTTGCTAAAAGTCTTACATTTATCCTATACATATATTGATAGATACATAAGCCTGTTATTTTAGCTTAGTAAAGAGAAACTTTCTTCAATTTCTTAAAATATCTTTGAAAGTGAAAAACGCGAAATTTTGTCGCTTAATTGAAACTTAATAAGTAAGAAACGTTTTGTCGCTACTCGATTACTTTCAATTCTAAATGTTAGTAATGTTTCGACTAATTAAGATATTTGATGATCTCAAAACATAATTTTAAAATTTTCCTTGATTATGGTATTTTTTTCCTGAAACTTATAATTTAAATTCTAAAACTGTACTTATTAAATCGCATATTGATTCAAATAATTGGCGTTATTATATTTTTACTCATTTTTTGAGAATCGTCATTATGGCTCCTGTAAAAGTATTCGATTTGTCATAAATTTGAATGACATCATGTGTGTCGTATTATTGCCAGTTTACAAATACAAATATTTATATTAAGACCGAAGCGCCAAGTGATAAATACAGATAATGGATACAAACAAAAAATACAACATAATATTATTATTTGTCGATATGTTTCTCAGTGTTCATTTCTTCATTTCTTTTTTGTTGTAGAGATATATAGACAGATAATTGGTTTTTTTAATCAAGCGAGTTAAAATTTATATATAAAAAATGCTTTTTACAAATTAGAACAGAATATCGCGAAAATAAAGTATTATTTTTTAAATATTGCGTGCCGCGTAAAAGAAACCATTAAATCAATAAATAACATTTATTAATTGATATAATTTAATTTCTTATACATCTTTATAAAACTTCCAACATACAGGATAAATACACGCACAATTTCAATTAATTTTTTTCATTTTAAGGCTGAAAGAATTTCTTTGTTTCGTAACAATGTTTTTCCCAATGTGATTTACGCCTAGTACAAAGATAAAAATAATTAATTTTATATATCTTTACAAAAATAATAGATATAAGTATATCATAATCTTTCTTTGTCTCGATTCTCATAGCAAGATAACAATATCTTAATGATGAAAACCATATCCATTGTATCAATTCTTCACGAAATTTGTTCATTCAGTTTTTCTAAAATTACAACACTGTATTATTATTATAATAGCTTTTAAACATTTTTGGATAATTATTTGTCATTTTATTTCCGTTTACAGTTTCGAAACTACATATATAAAAAAGTTTAATTGATAATATAAGAATTAAATACACGTACTATTTTTATAAAATTTAATAATAAACTCATAAAGTTAATATATAAAAAATCATGATTAATATATAAAATCATGTTATGCAAGAAAATCTGCGCAATACGAATTTGTAAATGATATCAATTATAGTATTATGTTCGAATTTGTCGACCAAACTATTAAATATAATGTACTAATACATTTTGCTTTACTGGATAAATTACAGAAATAAATTAAATTATGTTGAAGTTTACTTTTATGTATGAAAATGTAAAAGTGTTTTGCCATTGTAAGAACAAAGAAAGCTTGAGACTGACTTATAACCTACTTTCTGCTTAATCTGTTTGAGAAAAAAAGGAATCTCTTCGCGGAACCCCTATTCAATCAACAAATGAAAAAGGGCTATGTACATACGTACATACATACGTGCCTTATTCGATACGCCCTACATTCGTTTGCGAGTATCGATACCAAAAAAGACTCAAAATCGCAATACTTTGAAATGCAATCTATCGGAACATAGTAGCTCTCGCTGTCGAGTATTCCGATCTATCTATTTCTCTGCAAAGTATTCGCCGTTATATCGAGAGGAAAGGTATCGACATGCTCCTCGCGGTAGTCGCGGTTTCGGAGTATCAGTAGCGATCCCTACCAGAGCCAGAGACCAGAGACTTCTGGGCCGTGGGTATTCGCGAATGGCTGACTCCACTGTCGTCGTCGTCGTCGTCGTTTCTGTCAGGCGCGCCGCTCGCTACGGGGGAGCCATGTAAATGTCCGTCACGTCGCGGGGAAGACGCGTACGGATTGTATCGGCGAAGCGAGGCGCGGCGACGCGCGCCGAAGAGACGTGAGACGAAGCAAGGAGTCGCAGGCAACCGACGGTGTCGAGTCGAAGGTCACGAAGATCCACGCCGGGAACGAAGGGGAGGAGGATTCACGCCGCGGAAGGCGATCATCTTGGTCTCTTGCGTCGCGGATTGTTCGAGAACGGATTCCAGGAGTTGCCGTTTCGTCTCTGGATAAGCTCGGCGATTAGGGCGGATACGTATGATCTGTCATCATCTGAAATAATACATCAGGAAAATCACGAACGAGAGAGAGAGAGAGAAAAAGAGAGATAGAAAAAGAGAGATCACGGACGGATGCGTTGCTTACCGCACAACGGTAATGCCGTCGACGCGAACCTGGCACGCGCTCCGTTGGCTTCCTTTGGGTTTGATTACGAACGAACGGACTGTTTCGTTTTAATGGGCCGCGTCGACAGAGCACGAGGGTGACGCGGCTGAAAGTCTAGACTGGGGCAGCAGGAGAAGATTTCTCCCTTGGTATCAGCCGTGTCGCCTGGAGGACGTTTCCAGGGATACCGGGTTAGAGATAACACTAGGCTACGCTGGGAACGCACAATCACTTGTGTTCTTGAGAGCAAGTTGTAGGCTTGTACGTGTTCACTGTCACTGTTCTAGAATGATGTTTGTAAATACTGCATGGGATCTTTTCAAGGATATAAGGTTGTCTTTTGTATAGATGAATTTGATATAAATACGTGCTTTATATAGATAATTTGAGATAAATAAGTTTCTAATTGAAACTTATATTTCAAATACATTGAAATTATATTTTATTTATTTATTGAAGATATATACAAAATTTTGTGTGAACATTAAAAAAAAACAGGATTATAATATACGTATGAGATCTTAAAGGAGCTGCTGCATGCTTTTAAAGATTGTTGCTAATTGTAAAATTTGGCGTTCTTTGAATATCAATGTTGCAGACCTAGTTATGGAGGATAGTATGAGTGTAAAGTCCATGGAATCAGTGGCGACAAGCGATGAATATGAATTTGTGAATGAAAAAGGTACTAGCAAGCAGCAGCAAGTCCTCTTAGAACCACCTATGTTAAAAATTGCCAATAACGGTAATTTGGAAGATCTGCAAAATAATCTCCGTGAGGTCTGTACATTTTTATTAGCCTTATCGTTTCCTTAATCTAGATAAGCATTAATCTATATCCATGATAGATGAATGCTATTGATCAAGCCTGTTCAAAATATAACTTTTGAATTAAATACTCTCTTCTCTCTATCATCTTGTTGAGTGAGACAGATAGAAAACAAAAAGGAATAAACACTAGAGAACAGTCAGCTTCTTAATCCTAGATGTCACTGAGTAGAGGTCTGCCTACTTATTCTTTTTGTTTTTTTTTCTATCTCACTCAATAATGCAGAGAGAGAAGCATTTAACCCACAAGCTAAGTACTTTTGGATAGGCCTGCCATAAATAACGTGTTTATATCCACTTTGTGTGACAACTGCAGATTTTGACAGAGGACTCGAAAATGGAAGGAAGTGAATTCAAAGTGACGAGTGCCAGCCAACAAAATCAAGAGAAGACGAAGAAAGTAGGCCACAGTAAATTCTATGATGTTAGTTGTGTTGTTTCATCGGAGAAGCAAGATATTATGAAGCCAGAAGATTATGTTGAGGAAGGTAAGTTACTGACATAATTGTAAACAAGAATGAACAATACAAAATGTGACAGACTTAAGATCTAAAAGTATGTTTGTGTGGTCTAGAATTAAACACATTGTCGCACGTTCAACAAGAATGCACTATTTTCAATGGTGTTACATATCTGGGAGCAGCTGCTATAAATGCACCAAAATCAGAATGTGAAATCCAACGTAATATGAGTATATTAAATGCAGAGCAATCCTTGACTTTAGGAATAAGAGTTTCTGTCTCGGTACCGAACAGTTCTCAAGGTTCAGTTATGTGAGTAATCCAGTCTAAATTTAGTGGGTGCACAAATAGGTTATCTGTATATATATATAATATATATTATATAATTATATAATATGTATCGTAATTTTTTTAGTTTATATGATGCAGCAACACAACAAGCTATTGCACGTTATGAAGTGCAACGTATTCTGTTTTATGCACGTGGTGAGAGTACTGGTTCATGTGCAGCATGTTTTGCTTTTACATGGTCACACGGTGATACTTTAGAATCTGCCATTTATCAATGTCATGTTTTCCGCTGTGATATACCAGAAGCGGTACGTTTTACACTAATTATATATATGCAAATAAAAATTATAATTCTAGTTATATTCTGTAAATACTTTCTTGATTTCATAATTCATTATAACTTTATTTTAGTATATAAAATATGTTGTTGTTGATATTAAAGCATTTAAAAGCACATATATTAAATTACGAGAGATAAATATATTTTATTGCCATTTTTTAATACATGTATATATACATATATATAATATTAATATGTATAAAATAATGTACATCTTAATTTATAATTATTTTATATAGGTCGGACAAGTATCAGCCTGTTTTTCAAAAGCATTCCATAGAATACCACGTTCAATGACAAGTTCTTTAACAGGCAGTGACTTTAATGGTTTCAGTGCTGGTGAAAAAGTTAATTCTAGAGTATTTATTTTTGAAGTCACTATGGAAATAAAAGAAGAGGATGGAAAAGGTGGTTTTAGTACAGTCCCTAAGGATAGAAATTGTTTCAAATTACGAAGCAATGTGGCAAAACAAGTTTGTTTGAGTATCCAGCAAGTCTCTAGTAAAGAAGGTGGCATTACGCTTGAAGTCGAGAGATGTTTCGGAGTTCTTGTTAGTCCTGGGCGAAATGTTAAACACAGTGATATGCGACTACTCGAGATGGTAAAACGAGATTCACACCAGCAAGTTAATTTTATGTCTATAATCAGCTCAGATGTTCGCAATATTACAACAATTTTGCAGCAAGTTAATACTGGACCAATAATGCAAGACAAACAGTGTTATAATATTTGTGGACGTTGGGATCCTGCGGATCCCGCTTTGGAGACACTTAATATAGAAACTCCCAGAGAGGGTAAAACTTTCATGACTATAGCCGTCGATCTGGTTATTAGAGATATTCGAGAGCCAGTAAGATTTGTGATAGAAACATCAGTTAAAGTATTTCCGCAAAACGAGAGATTTTGGTATTTTAATAAAAGGAATCTTGTGCAACAATTTTATCTTAACTCAAAAGAGGTGAGTAATAAATGTATTTATTAGTTTGTTATATTTATGTTATTTTTCATTTCTATATTAATTTTTTTATAATAGGTAATTTCTGGAGATGGTACGGAGATACATTATGAAGTACAAAGTATAGAAACATCTGGTGAATTAGATAGAAACAGATTAAATCTTGCTCTGAATCTGGCGTCTTTAATTAGATCGCCTTCTTTAACTAGTATTGACACACTTACACCTAAAGAAGAAATAGATTCAGGTAATAAATTCAACATGGAAAAGAATTGTCTCATTAATTTAATAATACAAAATATATTTACTAACGTTTCGATTTCTACGTATAGATGGGGATGAACCTATGTTAAGTGGTACAGGCGAAGTCTCGAAGGATTGCTCGGCAGATGAACTGGCTAGTTGGGCTGAAGTTTTAGATAGTTGGCAAGTTAACGAGCAACGTCCAAAACTTCTTATAAAACTAACAAAACAAGGAATTCCTGAAGCTTTACGTGGTGAAGTTTGGCAACGTTTGAGTAACTGTGACAATTCACAAGAGATGATGGACAAATATAGAATGTTAATTACGAAAGTAAGTATTTTGTATAATTTTATATAATAAAAAATGATTAATGATCTTTTCTGAGAGATATAACATGAATTTTGATAATAAATATACAGGAAAGCAGCTGTGAGAGCGTAATTTTAAGGGATATTAATAGAACATTTCCAGCCCATGACTTCTTTAAAGAAACAGGTGGTTTAGGGCAAGACTCTTTATACAGAATAAGTAAAGCATATGCTGTTCACGATGAAGAAGTTGGGTATTGTCAGGGCCTCAGTTTCTTAGTTGCTAGTCTGTTACTCCATGTAAGTAGTTACTAAATAGTTTTATAGAAATTTGATTTTGTTGAAGTGGCAGTTGAGTTCTTTACAAATGATATATTTTGTAACTTTTTGTAAAGTGTTTATCGACAAAAACGAATGGACTGGTATTTCTTTTAGATGCCCGAAGAACAAGCATTCTGTGTTCTGGTTAAATTAATGTACGACTATGGTCTTCGAGATTTATACAAGGATAGATTTGACAACCTTTACATGCGGTTTTACCAACTAAATCGTTTAATAGAAGTAAGTCATGATCAATCTATATGTATAATAATTTGATATGACATTTATATTACAATGAGTTATGCACGAAGCTACACTCTCTACATTTTGCTTCTAGGATCAATTACCGGAACTTTATAAGCATTTCTGTGATCGCGGTGTAGAAACGCACATGTTCGCCGCACAATGGTTTCTAACTCTATTTACTGCTAGATTTCCATTATATCTTGTCTTTCATATCTTGGACGTATTTCTTTTACAAGGACTCGACACGTTATTCCAAGTCGCCCTCGCTTTGTTGATGGTAGGCTATTAGAAGCAATTTAAAAAGTTCATAAGATATATATATGAACGAATTATATAATTATTTTGTTGATTTAATTGATATTTTTCTTACATTTATTTCATAAATAACGTGTATGCTAAAAAAAGTAATTTTATTTTTCAGCTTTGTAAAAAAGAGTTATTACAATTAGATTTTGAGAGCATATTGAAATACTTCCGGGTGCACTTACCAAAACGTTGCCGAAACGAAGAAGTTGCACGCTATGTTATGAAGTTAGCTTGTTCAGTGACTTTAAAGAAACTGAAGAAATATGAGGCAGAATTTATGACGTTGAAAGGTAATTTTATATTCTATGTTTGAACTGCATACTTCCCTGTTCATCTTTAAACACAACATTCCATCAATTCATTAGGAAACACTATATATCGTGTTGTACATGCATGTACATTTTATGTATAATTCAGCAATCATTACCTATTGATTGTGAATTTGTTGTCAATGTTGGTATAAGTTTTAGGCACATATAAAAACATTCGTACATATTACATTTAAAATCAAAGAGTCAAAGATTCTTGCATGGCAAGAATTATTACTAACATAACTACATATAAAATGCAACGAGTTTTTAGGTTGTGCCATGGAACGTAAATATATGTGGAAATTTTCTTGTTGTAATTCTTAGAAAAGATCTTTTTTAATTTAAAATGAAATATAATTAAATTAAAATATATAGAAGAAATATTGTGCTATATATTTTAATAATATGATAGTAAATTAAATTTATTTAAAAAAAAAATTGAATATATTATAATACATATATATATATATATATATATATATATTAATTATATTAAATATAAAATACATCTAATTATGCGTAGGACATTGCGTGCACGTGCATATTTAACGTAGTTACATGTAAATTCGGCAAAACACACACGAGATAAAACTTGATACGCTTTTAATTAAAGTATAAAATAATGTTTCTAGTCTCATAAAGAAATATGTTAATGTATAGTTGTTTAAGTTAACAAACGTATTAGTAAAAATTTTATAAAAACTTTATAGCTCTCTCTATATAGCAGCATTTAAATAGTTTACAAAATTAAATATAAAATGTGTGTGTGAAATTTGTAAATTATTTTAGTCAGGTGGTGGTTTTATTTGCCTGGTTATTTTTTTTTTTTTTTAAATTGAGTAGTGCACTACTTGGCGAAAATACATCTCGATTATTGTTAAAGTATGAAAAATTTGTTTAAGTTTTAAAAAAAGCAAGCAGAATATTTCCAAATTGTTAGTAGATAATAGGACTAATGTGTGAAAAGCACTTATCTAATTTCTCAATATAAAAATTATTTTAGTAATCTTAATTTATGCTATATGCAAATAATTTTATTTTTCACACATGTAAATCTGTTTGCTTCCATTTATTTGTTGCAAATAGCTTGCAGTTTAATATAATATTTCTTGATTGTATTATTCAATAATTATTAATGATTGATTATTAATGAAAATATTATATATTAATAAATATATACAATGAATAATTATGAATGATATTAATGGTAATTTTGTAAAGTGTGTAAAGATTTAGAAATAACAGACAGATTAATAGATTTATTATTATGGTCGATTAATATTTTTTTATTCTAAAAGTTAAATTTGTTGCAATTATGGAATTTATTTAAATACGTATGAGTAAAGAATAAAATTTGGACATTAAAAAAAACTTGTAAGGATATTATATATATAAAAATATTTAATTGTATATTATTTTTTTATTCTACTGATTGAATAATAACTGATGAGCAATTGATCAAATATAACTTCTGTAATACAAAATACTCATGTCGAAAATTGTAGAACTATTCTTCCTGTGCTATTGTATTACAATGGCTACATATGTGTGTGCTGTGAACATATAGTACATTAATGTCATTAGATGGAGAGATGTCATGTTATCAAACCTTTATTGTAAGTTTAATTTTGTAAAGTATTATTTATTTTTTTACGATATCACATTATTGGAAAAACTGTTATTATGTTTGTTATTAGAATCCATGCTTATTGGCTGTAGCGCTTGTGTCTACGACCTCTTGTATTGCTTTTTATTTATACATTATTTATTATTGCTTAGTGAAAAATAAATCATCTCAGAGTACTTTTAGTTTTGTGAATTACCTATTTTATCCGAAATATCCTATTCCTAATAAATATCTAGTAAACATCTGCACCTCCCACCTTCACATTTTTGTTTTCTTGCTATATTGGGTATGCATGGCGCATCAAACAAAATTGTCAGCACTTGTCTGTATGGTACTAATTACTTCTCTTATATGTCTATAGAAGTAGTGTAGTGTCGCAATATAAGGTGCTTTCCAACAAGGACATAGACACAATGTAATAAAGTAAATCATTATATCCTTGTTGTTTGCTTACGTTGAATAAGGATGAGACGATTCATCATTACACAGTGTCTGATTGTGTCTTTACTGGGAAGTATCTATAAATACCACAATGCTAGATTATAATTAACAAAAAGAATAAAAATAATAAGATATAATTAGATATATATATATATATATATATATATACATGTATATATATAATATTTATAATATAAAGAAAATTTTATCTGATCTAGAAATTATATCTGTGTGTGGGAATGATAAATAGAAATATTTTTATAAAGCTATTGTCTGAATTAATCCTATATATGCCACAGGTCGTTGAAGTATGCGTAAGCTGATAAGCAATAACATAGGCTGATAAGCAATGACTATAGGCTGACTAATCATCAGATAGCTTTCACTATGTATATACTGAAATGTCTTTTATATTTAAATTTGGAGCTGACACAATTAACAATATGATAGTATAGTGTGTATCAATTATTATCACAAGAAATCACAATTTGCAATAATTGGATATGTGCAAGGAATGATAAAGGCATCCTTATAAATATATTTTATCAGTCAAGTTTATGTTTTTATTACAATGTTCCAAGATATAACAAGGTTGCAAAGTGTACGTGGAAATTTCGGCTATCAACATTGTCACTTGAGATATAGCAAGATAAAGATATCCAATATCAGCTATATCAGCGGTTTAAATTTGGCCATAGTACATTCCTGTAGTATATAGCAAAGTCAGCCGTTCATGTTAACGCGATATCTGTCAGTTACGTTCGGACCATCTGTTTTTAACGTATCGGTGGCGTAAATATGAGCCAGGCAACGAAAGAACTAATGAAGAGTAAGAGTGAGAAGTGTGTTTATGTAATATTTAAGGGTGCAATGCTCAGAAATTATTCCTTGTTGCCGAATTTCTTTAGAAGAAACGTGTGCAATTCAAAATAAAACATTTGTGATACATGTAGCAATATCAAACATGACTGATAAAATACATGAAATTTTTTAGCAAAAAATATAACTTATGCAAAAAAATAAAAGTGCATTTCTAAAAAAATATTTTTATAACTATTTATAATAACTTTTGTAATAACATTGTATACAACTATGCATTTGGGGTGAATTTTAGGAATTTATAGCTGTAAATTTATACGAGAGAGAGTAAACATAAAACAAAACTCCGACGTAATAAACATAATCTAATTGTCTAATACATTAAAATCTTAAACTTGCCTAAATGAGAATTGTTTATTCCTCATGTAGAGGCACAGGAAAATGCTGATGAATACAGTAACGAAGTGGAGCAATTACGCGGTACAGTGGCCAGAAATGAAGAAGAAAAGCAAAGATTGGAGGCAGAATTGCTGCAAATTAAGGAGATGTTACAGCGTGAGGTAGCTCGGGCAGACGCCGAAAGCCGCAGAAGCAATGTCATTATAGCCGAATACAAGCAGGTATTTACAGGATATTATATTGTACATTTGAGTTTAAGTATTACAGATAGCTGCAAAAATATTTACACGTTCCAGATCTGCCAGCGTTTGGAGGACGATTACAACGCTGCGAAAACAACATTGAGCGAGTTACGGGTGTGTAATCTCTGGTTTAATTTTGATAGCGTTAACGGTTTATCAAGCACAGACTCTGATAACAATATATTTCAGGCAAAGGTTTCGAAATGCGAAAAATGTAGGACATGTATAATGGACTCATCAAACATATTGGCGGATATCGCACATCCTTTGGAGAATCGAATAGATCCTATGCTTCATAGGGTGCAGGAAAGAGTGCGTGAGTTGGAGCTAGAATTAGCGCAGACGAAATTAGCGCATGTCGAGGCCGAATGCCGGAATCAGGTGGGTGACAAGGATACGTTTTGCATAGTTGATACTTTGTATCTTTGAATTCTAACGCAAATCATTTGACAGTATCTGACACATGAGTTGCACGCCACCGCTTCAGAGCTGCAAGCCGCGCGAAATAGTTGGCCATGGCTCAGCAAAACCTTGTCCAGTATAAAGGAAGCGGCAAACAAGAGAGAAGCAATGGCTCCAACCGCGCTAAGAGATCTGAGACGCGACAGTGCACCTGGAGGTGATCTGCACCATCTAATACATTCTCGTGGCCGTGAAACGCGCGATAATCTCAAGGAAGTTGTGTGATGCAGTAAGTACAAAGTACAATACCTCCTAAAAAATAGCACATCTACAGTGAAATGAATATGAAAATAGAATGAAATATATTACGTAAAGCAGTTGCTACATAGTTGCATGGATATGAATATAAGACATTCATTGATGAATAAAATATCTGTCAACGAGTAAAATATATATGTCAACCATCAAATATTTTTTAAAGCAAAGAATAAGATGGAAGACACAATAATCGCGTTCAGCAAACTCAACTGTTGTGGAGCGGATCTGTGAGCACTCGCTGCTTGGTGTATTCTTCTAGATTATCCAATAGAGTCTGCTGAACGCGACCATTGTCGCACGATATGAAAGAATCTTTTATATCCATGCGATTATGAAGCGACTATTTGTGCAATACTACTTCCGTGATATGACTTTTAATGCCCTTCCTGTGTATGCTTGCGAATAACGATAGTCTAATATTCGATATTAAATCATATTATTTTCATGTTTTCGCTATGCAGACAAAATGCCATTAGGAGAAGAATACGTACATCTTGGAGTCATGCGCCGGGCACGAATATGTGAACATGATGTATGTTCGTAGTTATTTAATGTACTGTTATTTGTTAACTTGATATATTTTTTGTCACACTCCCCAATTGAATTGCGTATCAAATGCTTTTGATCAGGTAGCCCCATTTACATAACAGCTGATATTATATTGAAAATCATTGTTATAAATTTTGTTACGTTTTAAAAATAAGATTTGTTTTTGTGATTTTTTTTCTTTTTTTCGACACGCGTATAAACGCTTATAGTAACATTATTTTTTACGTTTATTCTTTTTTTCTTTCTTTCATTTGACGTATATCAATATATGTAAATGTTGTACTTGATATAAAAATTTACACAACACCACGCGAGTTACTAACGAAGAACAACCGAAAAAGAATCACATTACGTACGTAAACACGATAAATTATTTACAATAGTAGAAAATAAAAGTAAGTACATATGCCACGTTTTGTATGAAACTAGTCTAAGCATGAAAGGGAGAAAATGCTATAGAGACTTTTATCTATACATACAGTAATTTTCGAGTAACAATAGTCATGACAATTCTAATGAACAAATGATGTGTGATTACGAAAATCAGAATTTACATAACAGAAATAATTGTTTTATTTACTTTTCTATTAATTGATTTTCTATTATTTAATTTTATTTGAATTAATATAACATTCCAAAATAGTGCGAATGCGTTTTCTTCCATGTATCTTTATTATTAAGTCCACTATATTCTGCAATGACTTCAATTCAACTGACGTAATTGATAGTTACATACGTATATATAGTCTTGACAGTGTTCTACTGACACAATATTCCGATAATTCTACTAATTCTATACGTTAAGTTTGATATTAAAAACTTTCACTATTTTAGTTTTATATATACTTTTGTCACACTGATAAACACGCGAAACGTATACTTTAATTTCCTATTTAATCATGGGATATTAATCGTAAAAATGTAGCAGAATAGATACACATGTAAATTACACGGTAGTTGCAAGATATTTATAATACTGTTTAGTTATAATTTGCACTTTGTTTTGATAAAATTTGTAGTAAGACGAACGTTACTAAAAGCCATAGATTGTGGTATTAAGGCACTACTTAAAAATGCAATTCCATTGATGTGTAATTTTGTCTAGTATTATAAGATGTTTCCACAATAAATTTGCTATACACCTATAGCACATTCTTGACTATCAAACTTAGCTTCGTAAGTCGTGCCATTTACTTATATATAAGTGTGATATATTTATTTATACAGACTTAAACACAAGAAAGAATTAAAAGAAATTACAATCTTATGCAAAAAAATATTAAAATTGCATATGTGTAAAATTAAAGCATATTTGTGCCATTAAGTCATATTATGAAATTTACTGAAACAGTCAACGCTTGTTTTTTATTGTATTTTTTTTATTTTTATTTTTTTTTTATTAAACTAAATTTAGTAAAGTTATTAACGAGTAATATGTACACGATTTCGAGCAAAGTTTATGGTCACTTTGACTTACACTCTAGCGAATAACCGCTTGTATTGAAAAATGGAAGACTTTATTTCTGTAAATACTAAAAACACAACAGTCAAAATCGTCTAACTAACAGAATCATGTAAAGTCTTAGGCTAACTACGTATAAACCATTGTATACCCTGTAATTTCATTCCACTGAAATAAAGAAAGATATCACGTTTCAATGTAAAATATTTAATATTAAGAAGCTCGTAACTTTTATGCCATATAATGTGTACATGTTTACCTGTATTAGGATAAAATATATTGAGAACATTACATTTGTTCAAATTTTATATCGATTTTATTTGTCCAAAGTTTTTGCATCATTGCGAACTTAACTATGCAGTTTCAGTCTTAGATAGGAAATTTTAACGAAATTATCAAACAATTACAAAAATTAATTTAATATTAGTTATCACGTCCGCTATTGATCTACCAGATATCACATAGATATACGTTACACTCTATCAAAACTTAACATATTGATAAATTTTCATAAATCACATCAAGGACTGAAATAGTATATTAGAGATATTTAACAAACTATTGAAAAAAAATCCATAAAATATAAGAAAATATACGTATACGTATATATATATATATACATATATGTACGTACATGTACGTACATATGTATGTGTATGTATATATAATATATGTATATACACATATACATATGCACCTATACAAATCGATATGTGAATATATATTATGTACACGTATGTACTTTTACATATTATGTATACATGCGTGTATGCGTACTCGCGCGTGTATGTATCCATGTACACATACAAAAACATACATACATGTACATATATTATATACGCGTATGTATAACATGTTAAGATTGAGACAACGTAATAATTTGAATAATAACAAGAATATTTCATATTCATAATAATAGAGAAAAGCTCATATTGATTTTAATATACGTTTATAATACAGGAATGAAAAATTCTTGCAGTTATTCAAATGAGAGAAAGAGAATATCATAGAAAATACATTCAATACACACAATAAAAACAAATGTTATACTTAATGAACATAATTGATCTATTTAATAGGTATCTAAAATTGATTTTGGCTACATTCCAAAACGTCCTTTCCGAGGAAAATTTTATTCGAAATATATAGCGTATGTAACATATACTATATTATATCGAATAAAATTTTCCTCGGAGAAGACATTTTGTGTGTGTGTGGAATGTAGTCCTAGATATTTTATTACATAAAATATTGCATAGGCTTGAAATATTTAATAAAATATTACGTTAAAATCTATAGAAAGAGGTAGTTATTTATTAGTTTGATTTTAATAAACAAAAAATATATTATCCATGATTTGGAATACCCTTTATGTCTGAAACGCAAGCAAAAATATTTTCTAAGATATTTACTTTTCAAGCCTACACTGCAAACTTGTCAGGAGCATCGAAGAATGATATGTAAGATAGTACTTTAATGCTGCAATTGTGTCACGCTCATGTTTTACTTCCTCTTTTCTTTCTTTTTCTCTTTAAAACAAATCTTTTTATTTACCATGTCCATTATCATTTTCCATTTCATTGTAAGCTACATCACTCTCACTCTCTGAAGAACTGCTATCAAAACCTTCATCCTGACCTACATAATTAACATCGTCTGGAAATATAAAAATATTATAAGTACATTATCTTTAAAATATGCAGACAGTATAAAGAAGATAGAAAGATAGTTACCTGCAGCCTCGTCAGGAATTCTCAGATTTTGTCGAGCTTGCATATCAAAATCAAGCGGATTTGCCATATCCAATATCCTCAATAACCATATAGGAAAACCGTTTTGCATTACGTAAATATCGTTTTCGTTCTCCAGATCGTTTTCGAGTACGTCAATTAATGGTTGTAAATTTTCAATATCATTAGCATCCACAGCCATCATATTATTACCTTCATCATCTCTGTTGTTATTTGCTAAATCACCGTTTTCCACTTCAATCGGTTCCAAGACACCAAGTCTTGGCGCTTCCGCAATACTTGGCGATTCGGAATCTGGTATATAATCCTGAGCTATGCTAGGTAACTCGTATTCTGGTGTTATATCTTGCGCGGAAACAGAATTTGGATAACCAGAATCCATGATCTCGGGAGACCAACTGTTCGGAGGTGTTTCAAGTGGAGAAAATGATTTAACTTCAACATTATTCACTCCAGCAGCATTTAATACATCTTTACTTGTATTAACATTCTCTTCATTTTTAAGTGCTGACGTTAAAACATTACTTGCATCTTCACTACTTTTACAAGGTACAAACTTATCATTTCTTAAAACATTAATTTCTTTGGCACAATCAGATGAAGAGTATTTGCTAATACTCTGTGACTTGGAACTTAATAACTGTCTAGGCGGATTTAAACCTTTTTTCTTTATGCTTAACTGTGCAAGGTCACTAATCACATTTTCTAAGTGTGCTTTTGTCAGATCTGTTTCTGCTAATGTACAATATACACTCTTATCTTTATGATTAATACTCTCATTACCTAATGACGAGACGTGGGATGTATCTGCATTTTGTATATCATTCACAATGTTAGATTCATGATTGATACTATTTTCCGTAAATTCTTTATTAGTACCTTGTATTAATTCCGTAGAGATGGAATTATCAACATCACTAAATTCTTTATTTTCTAAACACAAATTTTGCTGTGTGCTATTACTAGCAGAAGAGCCTATGTCGTGTCTGGAAGTATTTGTAAAATTACTACTCGAAGAAGTGGCATATGGTTTAATTGTTTCTGTAATACTACTATTAGACTCCTGACTAGATTTTAATAAAATACTATCAATAATATCTGATACAATTTCCTTAATTTCTTCTGGTGTGTCCAAAACACTGCTATTCATTGCAGGTATTAGTTCTCTGTATTTTAAACTTTTGCTAACAATATGAGTAGTGGACATTTTTGTATGAGGTGAACTTGTATATTTTGGTTTATTATTAAAACTATAAACATCTGATGACATAACATTTGTCATATCGTTATCTTCATAAATTTGATTTTTATCTGGAGTATGTAACAAAAAATTTATTTCGTCCTGTGTATTTTTCTTTGGAAGACTTTCTGTAAAACAAGGTATATCTTTTGCAATAGAATCTTCTGTATTCATAACTGCTTCAGTTGCCATTTCAGATTGATGAAAAGTACTGTTCAATAGACATTGATCGTTGATTGACGATTCATTTTGATAACATGTACTAAAATCTTGCAAAGAGTTATTCATCTCAGAACTGAAGTAAAGTGTTCTTAGTGACGTTGATGAACGTGAAACAGACATATGTGATTGAAAATTCGACATTGAAGCAACTCCTTCCATAGTTCTTAGATTTATCTGATCATTTTGTAATAAAGCTGATTCTACTGTAACATCATTGTCTGAAGTTTTTAATGTCAAACTGTTGTTGAGTGCTGCTGCGGACATATTAGAAGCAGTTAGTTGAGCTTCTACTTCATTTAAAGTTAGAGTAATCGAATTACTTGGTAATTCTCGTTCAGTGTATACTAAAGATTCTACATTTCTAATTCCTGATTGTTTGATATCGTCATCAGTCGCATATGGCTCTTTTAACGGTTGAGATTCTTCCACTAAATCAT